TGCATACTGTCCAACATTAAGTTGCCAGCAGGTAACACATCCCTGAGGACAACAGAAGATTCATGTTTGAGACCTTCCTAGACCCTGCCCTATGTATCTTTATTAAACTGTTCTGATTTGTATCCTTAGGCTATAATTGTAATCATAACTATAACATTTTCCAGCATTATATGAGTTGTTCTAGGGAATTACCAAGCTTGGGATAGAAACTCCTAAATTTGTAGCCAGCTAATCAGAAGGAGGAAGGACATGAGGACCCCCAAACTTGACTGTGGTATGTGAAGTGAAGACAGTCATGTGCAAGACTGTGCCCTTATATTCTGAAGTTCAACCTAGTTCTGTGGACTTCATGTCAGAATTCATTTCAATACAAAAAACAAAATTGTTTTTAAATGAAAAAATTAAATGAGGCTTCCAAAATTAAAGAATAACATCAAGTATTAATAAACAGCAATGTTCAAAATTAACCCTAATTTTAAGTTTCTCTATAATTTCTAATGAAAAGGTATTCATTCCCTCTCTTATAAGGCAGTTCATAATTATTATAACTGTTTACAAAGACCTAAAAAGGAGAGAAAAAATCGGATTTAAGAGGAACTCATTTAATTATTGTCATGTTATGAAGTAAAATACAGATAAATTAGATGTATTACAGATAACCACACAATGGAATTTTATTCAATAGAATAGGTAGAAACCAAGAAATCTTTAAAGTATTTAAGCACTTTTAATTTTACTTTTCTTTTATTTTTATATTGACTGATATGAGAAATAACAGCCAACAGAGAAAACAGCACTACTACAGGGGAAAACATAACATTAAATTCTCACTAAAGTAATAATCACATCTCCAAGAGTTGGCTTTAAGATAGTAAAATACTAAAAAAAAAAATAATACACACACACACACATTGAACAATCATATATAAAAGAAAGAAAAAAGCCTCTATTTATACTAATTCCAAAACCAATGAAAAAGAAACCAGCTTGCAGGCCAGCTGGTAGATGTAGTTAAGGTGGCTGGATCCCACATGGCCAACTCAACACCATATGACCAACTGCGTGGTTCAAATCTCGGATCTAGCAGCTTTAAAAACATGCCAGGCACACATATGTAAGTGTCCAAAATCCTGAGAGAAGAATGGAGAAGGGACTGCTAGCATGGCCATCATCCCTGGAGTTTACTTCTCACTTTTTCTCTCTCACTCTGTCTTTGGAGCGAGCCCATGCACCCTGATAACAACAACAAATAAAAACTTTAAAAAAAAGGAAACCGGTTTCCATGCATAAATAGAAGTCAGTTAAAACATAGCTATGTTTTACATTTGGCCATCATTGCAGAATGAATAGTTATTTCCTGTTAAAATTATTTTATTTACCTTTTAAATCTTGGTAGTAAATTTTCAAAACAATTTCTAGCAAATAGCCCTAATTTCAAAAAAATTAATAATGCTATTTTTACTTTCTTTTTTTTAAAATTTTTGCCAGAAAGTACAGATGCTCACCAAAGAGAGACAGAGAGAAAGAGAGATAAATGAGAAAGTATCTCCTAGGGGGGATGGTCATGCTGTAATTCCTTCTCCTCTTCCTCTCCCTCCTTTAAGGATTTTGGGCACACATGCACACATGCCGGGCCTGTTTTTCCAGTGATCAGGTCTGAGACCTAAACTGTGCCGTCAGCCACATGAGACCCAGCTGCCTTAACCACCACACCAGCTATTTTTACTTTCTTAATCTAAATTTCCTTTTTCTTATTGGTTTTACAAAAAAAAAGTTACCTGGAAATAGGTATGAATTTAACAATATATGAGAAAATAACAGCTATAGTAAAGATCTGTTTTAACATAATAAAATCATGGAAAATAAAATTTTGAATTTTTGCAGCAATTTTGTGTCTATTTTGGCAAAGTTAAAAACTGACATAATTGGGGCAGCTGGTGGCATTGTCAATCAAGTGGCTGGATCCCACATGGCCAACTATGTACCTCAAGTCCTGAACCCAGGGCTTGAAAAACAAGCCAGATATGTGTGCATGTACATCCCAAATCTCAAAAGGATAATGAAGAATGGTTTGTAGTGTGGGTATCCCCTTTAGGGGATGCTTTTTTTCTCACTATCCCCCCGCCCCCTTCTCTTTCATTCTCTGGTGAATGTATGCAACTAATGGCAAATTTAGAAAAAAAAAATGTAAAACTGACATAGTTAAATGTACCACTCATTTTCAGTTGATTGCAATATTTACTAGAAGAATAAATTAAAGTAGCGTATATGATTTGTTACATTAGATTTGTCTCAGACTAGAAGCACCCAACAGGCACTTGTTGGTGTTTGCAGTCAAATGTTTAGAAATCTGATTTAACAAAAGTGTCAAACAGAGTGTAGATACTTCATTTGAGTTTTCTGGCAGGTCAACCCTATGAGAAGTATCTACACAGGAACCCTGAGGTGGTAGGTAATAAGGAGGACCAGCAGAGCCTATGATTTGTCACCTAAAAACAGGGAAGCAACAAAAAGAACTTTTAATAATCAGTTAATTCTGATGCATAGGACTTTAATCAAAAATGCTATTTTTTTCCTAATTATTTTTGTTTTTTAAAAGAGACTTGTACACAAGGACTGCCAAAAAAATTTGCTATACTCCAAAAAATAACACCTATCAGCTCCACATAGGCCTAATATTATAACATCAAAGAATGCTATAAATTCTGGCCCTAATGATTTTATTAGTACTGCAGTATTTCTAGTCTGAACTTTTACAATCGTGTATTACTTTTAGCAACTGAAATAAAAATATCTTGTTCCTCAACATGATTCAAATAGTATTCTGAAAATCCAAATTCTTAAAATGAATTCAGATTTAATCCTTTCCCAAATGCTTTAACATATCTTTAATATCATATATTCAGTTTGATATATTTACTATTATGCTACTATTACTCTGGACAGAATTCCTACCTCAGTTTGTCCAAGCATTTTACACTTTGCTTCTGGCTATAACGAAAAGTAAAAACTTAACAAAATGATAAATGCTGATACATAATGTCAAGAAGAAAAGAAGAAAATTTAATGAAAATCAGTAAATGTATAAAAATATAATTTCTGCAAGTTTGTGTAACAAACAAGGTTACTGTTGTGAGATTTATAAAAACTTAACAAAATCAAATTCTCCTACATAAATCTATAGTCTTCACTTAAGAATTAAACATTTATCTTATATTTTGAGTGGGTTTTTACTACCATCTAGTGTTATATCTTAAGAAATACTTTCTTATAAAAATTAAAAGTTGCAGGAGGTACTTTGTATCATTCAACAATACCAGAAAGATGTAATTAATTGGAATTTGGGGAATCACCATACAGAAAATTCCAATTTTTAAAAAAATTATTCCTTATAAAATATTAGTAACTATTTTTATAACCCTTAAAATTCTTGTTATATATTTTTGGGCAAGCACACACACCACACAGCAAAAAAAAAAAAAAATACTCTATATTGTACACAATAATATTCGACATCAAATCCTTACCAAGGCTTCTAAATATATACCTAGCATGCTTCAAAACACAAGCTAAATAATGCAAAGATTCAACTCATAAAGTCTAACTAATGCACACAAAAAGCCAGATAATTACAGTATAAAATTATTATTCAAGCAGTATAGGTCTACAAAAGAACTTTCTCTTCACCTGATACCTTATGCTCAATGCTAGCATTTTAGGTGCCACAAGGAGAGAACAGGGCTATAGTCATGTTCCTTAAAACCACAGTGTAGGGGCCAGAAGGTGGTATAGTGTTAAGGTGCTGGACTCCCACATGGCCAACCACAGTTCAAGTCCCAGACTGGCATCTTTAAAATCATGTCAAGCGCATGTGCGTACATGCTCAAAATCCCAAAAAGAAAATAGAGGAAAAGGGACTGTAGTGTTCCCATCCCCTATAAGGTGTGATTTCTCTTTTTCCCTCTCTCTGTCTCTCTGTCTCTCTCTCTGGCAAGCACATCCTCCCTATGGCAAAAACCTAAAAAAGAAAAAGAAAAAACACCTGTACTATTTTATTCTTCGGCTTGCCTAGTACCAAGTCATACAGTGAAGCAAACCCTAAGTAAAAAGGCTAAGAGGTTGAAAAAAGAAAAGATGAAGCAATGGATACTCATTCTCCTAATGGGTTAAGAAACTTTTTCTTAGGTTATATTTTAGTATTCTAGAAATTATTTTCTCAGTCTATGGAATCTAGAGATGATCCAGGGATGCTTTAAGCTATTCTTAAAGAATTAAAAAACTTGGAAATTCCGTGAAATTTACTATACCAGGGGTTTTCTTATAGCTATATTATCATAATCATCAAATTTTATGTCATTAATCATGCTGTTTTTAAAAAATGACATAAGGGAGGGCCGGCAGGTGACACAGTGGTTAAGGCATTGGACTTCCACGTGGCTGACCACGGTTCAAGTCCTAGGCCTAACAGCTATAAACTGGGCACATGTGCATACATGTCCAAAATCCCAGAGGGAGAATGGAGAAGGGATTGCAGTGTAGCCATCGCTCCTGGGGGGGGTGACTTCTTACTTTCCTTCTCACTGTCTCTCTCTGGCAAATGCATGTGCCCTACAGCAAAAACCTTAAAAAAACAAACAAAAATAAATAAAAACAACATAAGGGACAGCCCCATAGTCTAGTGGTTAAGTGAGTTAGATTCCATAAGGCTGACTATGGTTCAAATCCCAGCACCTTGAAAAACACCAGACATGTGTGCGAGCATGCTGTAAATCCTGGCAGGATGGAGAAGTAGAAGGGATTACAGTATGACTGAGGCCCCTTGGAACACATGTGCCCCTTGCAATTAAAAAAAAAAAAAAACTGACATAAATACTGTGTTCATGACATATATAAATAAACTATGAATCATATTTTTCAACCTTTCCACATAGGCACTAATCAACTTTTGAAACTGAATGTCATAAATACATCCTAAACCTATCAGGTCTACAATTACTCACTTGAAATGACCTTTCCATTGTTATTGCAAAGTAGTATTCTCTCCTGGGATATTTTCGCTCACAGACCAATACTTGATTGCATATTCTGCCCTTTTCTCCTGTTTGCTTGGTAAACAATTTTTTTCCAATCATTTGTGAGGAAACAGCTTTTGCTTCTTCTGGACTAAAATTAAAAAAAAAAAAAAAGAACTCAAATTCTTCTCTCTTCCATCTGATAGAAACAAATCCACAGGATAGCCAAAAGCTTATCTATTCTAATATTTAAATTTCAGTATTTCTATCAATTCAGTAATAAATCTTTAATAATGACAATTTTTCTTTAAAAAAATATGACTTACGAGAAAACTATCTTCACTCCTCCTTTCAGGCCACTTTCAAATGTTCCTTTTCCTCTACCACCAGCTAAAACCTGTGCCTTTATCACAACATCTTTTGAACCTAGAAGAAAAATACTTCTATTAGAAATGAAGCATAAACCAACATGTAAGACAACTGTTACTTAGTATATACATTAGAAGATAATATTTATTCACAATTTTTAAATGAGGCATTCCATGTATATAGATGTTCTAGAACACTCACCACTTAAAAGATCTACAACTTAAAAAAATATATAGCCACTCATATTAAAACCATTTCATAAAGTATACTGAAAATAATTTAACCATTCCTTAACACTTTAAATATCTAGTACTTTAGAAGTTATTAGAAGTACAAAATTGAGGCTTAACTGTTTTTAAACTCATCCCTTCTTCTCTATTCACATGTAAATCTACTATCCTATGAAAATTTAAGTTACTTTGGGCAGGAATATGCATGACTTGGGAGTAGTACCAGTACCAGAATTCATACTGACATATTATTTCACTAACAGAAAGTTCTATTAATAAACATATTTGAGCAGTACTGTTCTGGGTAGAATCAAGAGTTATTAAGGTATACACATCAAAAGATTACCAGGATGTCACACTTAAAAAGTTTTATGCATATTTAAAAAAAAATAGTCTTAAATCTTTCCTCCTTTAATCACGATCCCTTTTCTTCCCCTTTCTAATTTGCTATAGAAAACCAACAAGCTAACTAACTGTTGAGCCTAGATACTACTCAACATTCATGATTAGGGGTAAAATATCTTAGAAAGGCATTCTCTGTCTTCCAGAATTTCAGATCCTCCTCTTCATTTTGGCTCTCATAGCATTTTGCCCAAATTGGTAGTATAGCACCAATATTACACTGTGGCAAAATAATTAAGTGCTTTGTCGTATTCATTATATCCCAAGCACAAAGCAGTCTCTGGGGTATAACAATTACTCCATAAAGACACATTTGAGCAGGCTGGACATGGCTATCCTACTGCTAGAAAAAAGTCATTCCCTAATGCACATACCAAGAATGAGAGGGGACTCCGACCTAACCGGATGACCAATCAAACCAGTGAACTAACAAATGCAGCTTGTGATCAAACAAATAAGACCTGGCCTACAGTTTAAATGGTTACGAAAGAATGTTTAGAAAATTAAAGCGCGTGAACCTACATGGGAAATGCTTACCACTTAAATCAAAAGAATGGCCCTGAATCAGTTTAGGCACAATTTTAAAATTTTTTTTTATAAATTAAAAAAAACTCTTTGTTATATCCCACATCCATCCAGTCAGAAAATCATACTGGCTCTGTCTTCAAAATTTATCTAGAGTCTTGACTATTCCTCATTACCATGAATTTAGACCCTGCTCCCAAACATCATCTTTGTCCCCCACAAAATAGTCTCAAAGCAGCCCAACTGAGTACATCACTCCTCTTTCTTACACTTGCACTAAATGCCCATTTCACTCAGAGTAAAAGTTCAAGTACTTCCAATGGCCTACAAGGTCCTACTTGATACCCTGACATTCTGACCATTTTATCTTTCCTACCCTCCTCATTATTCACACCATTCCAGCTATTCTACTCTCCCGTGGTTCCTGGCATGTTCCTGCCTTCAGAACTTTGCTCTAACACTCCTTTGCTTGGAGTGTTCCTCATCCTGGTGTCCATGAAAAGTCCCTTGTTCCTTCTTCTTTAAAAATCTCATATGGTCTGTGAAGCTTATTACCCTGATCACCCTACCTACAACTGCCCACCTGTGACCAACCTTCTTTCTCTGTTTTCCCCCCCCACAGAATGTATCACCTTCTAACATAATTTTCTCATGCATACCATTTGTTGTTTAGCTTCCCTACTAGAATATAAGCTCTCCAAGGATAGAATCTTGTTAGACTCACTGATATTTACAAGTTTCTGGGAGGATCCCTACCATATATCATACTGAATGTTGAAAAAGGAAACATTTAGAAAGAGACTTCTTATAAATTTAGATCTTCCACTGGTCTTGTAAAAATTGAGAACTACTATAGAAATACAGGGCCCACAGACTCCTAGCTAGAGCTTATTAGAAGTGTCTTATTTAGGTAAAACAGATTTTTCCATTTGTCAGTCTCTACCAATCACAAGTATATCACAATTACTATTAGGATAACTGAGAACTTCCTATAAACCAACAGTATTTTTTTATTGTGAAGACAACAGGTAGCCTAAGGGACTACGACAAACTAGAGTTCCTGCCCAAACTAAAAAGAGTTGCACTATTTATTCTGTTTCTGGTTACCTGCCAAATCCTGGTTTTCCAGAACTTTAGGAATATTAATTTACAATCATACATTACTGAACAATGGAATGTGTCCTAAGAAATGCATCATAAGGTAATTTCATCTTATGCAAACATCACACAATGTACTTACACAAACCTAGAAGGTACAGCCCACTGCACACCTAGGCTACATAATATAGCCTAGTGCTCCAATGTTGTGTATGAGGTCAGCAGTTGACCAAAACACCGTCATGCAGTGCATGAGCATATATCCAAATAAGAAAACTGTAATACATACAGTGTAAATTTGATGTAAAAAAAATGGTCAACAGTTAAACTGATGCTTTTACTGGGCTAAAGCTACTCCTATACATTAAACCAGGAACTTAAAATACTAACCTATGTACTAAGAGTAATGGAGATACTTTTTCAAAAACGTTTTATGAAACAAAAGTTTCTTCCCATAAAGTGTCAATTTCTCTTAAGAGTAGAAAGTACTTAATGGCAAAAGATAATTCTTCAAAAGCTCCTTTTAAAAAAAGTGCTTCACCACAAAAGAAACTCCCCCCTCAAAAAAATAAATGACATACAGTCTCATCAACTGTCAAGAATGGGAGAAGGATTAGAAGATAAGTCTGAAGACAACTGATTGAAACAAATATTTTATTCAATTTTATTCAATTATTCAACATTCATCTACACAGTACACACTGTGCTAAAGCTGTACACACAACGATGAGCACAACGGACCTATCCTGCCCCCACAGAGCTTACAATCTTGGTCGATTCAGCAGCTTGCTTTAGTCAGACAAGATCTTATTTGGGTCCCAAGACTGTCTTTAAAATAAATTTACTATCTCTCCTAGTTTTAGTCATTCATGAACATTTTAAGCATTCCTTATTTATAGTTATCAAATAAAATATTGAAAAAATAAAAAAGAAGGCAAAGTCTATTCTAAACCATTAGACAACTCCCTCCACCAGGCTGACATTTATTAATTGGCACCTTTTGAAAGTTTATTCAACCAGAGGTGAGTTCCACCTGAATTATACTAAAACCCAAACTACATTTCAACAGTCACAAGAGAAATTATAAGATCTCTGGCAAATGCCTTACTGAAATCATATTTTCTTGAATTAGTAAACTATAATAAAGAAATGGTAATCTGCTCTTAGAACTGACCCCAAATTATAACTGCTTCATTTCTCCATGCTTAACAACAATACCTTCAATAATCATTCCAGAAAATTCTCTTCAAGCTCGCCATCCTTCCTTCTGTAGACTCATAGAGCCTTTAAAAACATTGGAACTAGATTTCTTTCTATTTTTCCATTCCTAACTTCAATCACTCACAACGGGTAAAACTTGCCTCTAGGGCAGTCCTTCCCAACTTTTTTTATATCATGACACATTTAGAAAAATGATAAAATTTGTAGGGAATATAATACAAGGGAAAAGAGGCCAGGACTACTTCAGAGGGTAGAGCTCAGTGGCCCCAGAACCCATGCTAACTCTGCTTCTCCTGACACCCAGGCCATTGAGGGGAAGCAACATATCATAGCTTTAAATAGACCATTTTTATAAATAAACATAAGCATTTTCTAAATTTTGCAGTAACTCAAGAAACAATGATCACCCTGAAGTAGCCAAGAATCATCACTGGGAAATGCTAGCCAGATGGATAAAACCATACTTCTACCACTTCATACACATCCTGGGAATTAGATCCCATAATCAGTATCTTCTGATAGTAATGTCTCACTAAAAACAAAAAGTGTCTTCATAGTAGTTACAAAATATATCTCTAAAAAGCAGCATTTATGCTTCTCTAAAATTAAAAGTCCTTATTAGTTGTTAATACCACTCCCATACTATACTCATCAACGTGCAGTATTCTTTGACAAGAACACACTGTCTAGATGAACAAGTTTTCTTCTATTCCAAGGGGCTCAAAATCAGACCTGCCTATCTGCTCCTTACTATTTATAAGTCCTGGTTCCAAAGAAAGACCTTGACAGAAACACTCATAATTATAGTTTATTCTAAGTATATTAACTGTTCTTTCTTCTGTACCTAAGAATCATTACAGGTTTTTATAAGGAGTAAAGAAATTGGCATCAGAATAAATCCTCGTTTTATAAAAATGTTTCAATGTTAATTATTTTTTCTGACTAGACAATGTAATTTTATTAAATAAGAAAAACTAGTTAAATGAAACCAATTAAAATAATTTGGAAGTAGAAAGATTTTACTTACTTCATTATATAAATCTGGCCCTAGTAACATTAACCATGCACAAGTTCAAACTACGGGTGGCCATTAATTAACAAAAATTTCACCAAAATTAATAACCTACACATATTTTTGTTTAATAAAAATAGCTTTCTAATAGTCTGAATAAAAAGATTTTTTTCTACTTAACACAAAAAACTGTAAATGAAACATTTTGCTTCTACATCAAGGAAATCATGGCCATCTCATTCAAAAACAGATCAGATTTTCTGAACTTGTATAAATGCTTACTTGTGATGGAAAATCTCATTCTAGAAATAAGTACAAACCAATAAAACTTTTCATTTTTTATTTTTTTAAGAGGTTTTTGCTATAGGGCGCATGCACTCGCCAGACAGAGACAGAGACACAGAAAGCGAGAAATCCCCCCCCGGGGGGATGGTCATGCCACAATCCCTTCTCCATTCTCCTCTCGGGATCTTGGGCACACACGCACACGTGCCCGGCGTGAGTTTAAGCCACCAGGTCCGGGACACGAACCGTGGTCAACTATGTGAGAGTCCAGCAACATAGCCATTACATTAACTGCTGGTCCCCCAATAAAATTTTTTAAATATCAAATTCTGTGTGTGTGTGTGTGTGTGTACATGTGCATATGCACACAAGCACATGTGTACTACAGGGTATGTGTACTACAGAGCATATGCATTCATTAGAGAGAGACAGAGGAAATAGCACTCCCTATGGGGACAAATGCTGTAATCCTTTCTCCTGCATCTCTCAGAGAGATCTGGGGCACAGACCCAGCATGTTTTTCAAGCCACCAGGTCTGTGACCCAAACCATGTAGTCAGTCATATGGGAACCAGGTGTGTTAACCATCAGGCCACAGAACCAGCGCCCAAAAATGTTATTTTTTTTTTTAAGATTTCTTTTGCCATGGGGCACATGCACTCACCAGAGAGAGAAACAGAGACAGAGACAGCAAATGAGAAATCAAAGGGTGATGGCCACACCACAACCCCTTCTCCTCCATTCTCCTTTCATGATTTTGGGCACACATGCACACATCCCCAGTATGATTTTGAAGTCACTGGGTCTGGTACTCAAACTACACGTCAGCCATGTAAGAGTCCAGCACCTAAACCACCACGTCACCTGGTGGATGCAGTTTAAACTTGTTTTTTTTTTTTTTTTAAAGAGAAATTTTTGCTATAGGGTGAATGTGTTCCCCAAAGAGACAGAGAGAGACAGAGAGACAGAGAGTGAAAAATCACCCTATCCTCTGGAGGATGGCTACACTGCAATCTCTTCTCCTCTACTCTCCTCTTGGGATATTGGGCATGCAACACATATGGACCAGCCTGAGTTTTAAGCCACCAAGTCCAGGACTCAAACTGCGGTCAACTACTTGCGAGTCCAGCAATGTGACCATTTCACCATCTGGTGCCCCATATTAAACATTTTTTAAATGTTCCAAAACTATCCAGAAAAATTACAAAAGCAAAGTCTTCACTAAAGCATATGTAAAGCCATATCAATCAAGTGTACAAAAGAGAGATTAATATGCTAATATACATAAAACATAAAATACTACAAGAGAAAATGCAGTGTATAGCTAATACATTATCTGATTACTGTATTTTCATGTTAAATCTTCAAAAACGTAAACTTAGAAATTTTCTAATGTCAAAAACTGATTTTTTTAAACTAAGAGATTAATACAAATTCAAAAGTTAGTAAGGTGTCTTATCAATAAAATAATCTACTAATAAACATGAACAACTACTTAATTCAGTGGACAAGTATTAATACCTAGTACCAGGCACTCTCCTAAGAGTTTGGGATTTATCAGGGAACAAGTAAGTCAAAGCCTGCTCTCATGGAGCTTACATTCTAGCACTCAACTTTTTTTTTCCCCCTTTAGTTCCACATTTTTCACGTTAAAAAAAAAAAAAGAGAGAAGGAAAGTATTAGACTTCTCTTTGCAACCACATAAACATAAAAGATTTCTCTTTTACCATTTCCCAGAGAATTATTATAGCCACTATCCTTTAAGCTACAGTGTAGTAAATAGAATTTCTCTCCTTATAATATTCCAATTAAAACAGGACTTCAGCTTCCCAATGCCAACATATACAATTACTACATCATCAACACTCTGGGAGTTCATAATTATCTCATAAAAATTTTAGGATTTCAACAATCATAAAGTTCCACCTTCTCCTTTAAGTAAACAATTTATTTTTAAACATGAAAGCTTCAAGTTGGCATCAAACTAAAAGTAAAGTTCACGTTATCAGAGTGTTCATGTCAGAGTAGTGTAAGTTTTTCTTAATTTAGTACCTAATTTTTTGGCAATTGCATAAGCTTCATCTGGTGACTTTGCCACAAATCCTCTGGGAACAGAGACTCCAGCTTCTTGTAGCAAATCCATACTCAAGTATTCATGTAGTGAGAGATTCCTTTGTGGTTGCTGCTGTACTTGGAGTCCATGGTTATTAAACAATCCAGAACTTCCCAGAACCTAAAGAAATTGGGGACATATTTATATATGACAGATTTGGCAGTTATCTTATTAAAAACACCCTCTCAAAATACATATTTTGTTATATGGAGTACTTGTTTCTTCATAACTATAACAAAACTGTTATATTAAATAATCAAAATATCTAGAATATCTGAATTGCAGCTTCAAAGTAACCTAACAGCCAAATTTAAAATGTTAGCTTTATAATTTTAACTATTTCCTCACCATCTGCAGTTCTTATCTTACCTTTGAGCTTTACTACCATATCGCCAATGATCTACAGGGTATTTCTACCCCAATGCCAAACCCAACAGATCTATTAAAAGATTCAATCTCATTTTTCCCATCAAACCAAAAATTCTTTGCAACTTTCTTTCTTCTACCATTCTTCCAACACTAAGCAAATTCCCTGGCACTAGATACATAATAATCTAATGATTTGGTACCATTTTTCTTTCACATTCAAGACTCAAAACCCTGGCTTCATCGCAGTAGACACTGCAAGTATGGTGGTGTTTTGCCCAGATCCCGCTCACAAGACCAAGGCATTCACAGCCCCATTTGCTGAGAATGCTGGCTGCTGACAGCTCTCAGCAGTGTCCTCTCACTTTAGGCTCCTTGCCCAAAGTCACGCCTCCTTTCCTGCATCCAATGATTGCCAATGGAAGTATTGATAGTGAAAGTATTGATAGTGAAAGGGATACAGGTTGAGCATGCCTAATAAGAACATCAAAATCCAAAATGCTCCAAAATCCAAAACTTTTTAAACCCAGATATAATGCCAAAAGTGTAAAATTGCACATCTGACATATGATAGGATACAGTCAAAACACTGCAATACAAAAATATTACATAAAATGGCCTACCTTTAGGCTATATGTATAAGATGTATAGGATACAATTTTGAATCGGATCCATCCCCAAAATATCTCATTATGTATATGTAAATATGCCCAAATCCAAAAAAGCCAAAATCTGAGTGCTATGGTTTGGATATGGTTTGTCCCCCAAAGGTTCATGTGCTGAATGCTTGGTCCCAAATGTAATGGTGTTAAAATGTGGTAGGACCTTTAGGAAGTGAGGCCTAGTGAGCAGGATCTGGCTCATAGTGGCACCACTCTCATGAGTAGATTAATGTGGTCTCACTGGGAGAATTTTTATTCTCACTGGAATAGATTAGTTCCTATGGAAGATGGCTGTCCACAGGTCACACTCTCTCTCTTTGCATGTACCTACTGACCTTTCAGCTTCTTTCCACCATGGTGTAATGCCAACTCCACACCTTTTGAAATTCTAGCCACCAAAATCATGAGCCAAATAAACCTCTATTCTTCATAAATCACTCAGCCACAGATATTTCTGCTTAATAACACAAAAATGGACTAAAATACCAAAATACTTCTAGTCCCAACCATTTGAGATAAGGGATACTTAATCTGCACAAAGAATTAGCATCTCATTCCAATTGGGACAATTAAGACAAGCCATCTTAGTTCCAGATCTCCTATAGAAATGGCAGGTCTCTACTGTAAACACACCACAGTTCTACTACTTCTAGTCAATTCTCCTGCTTTCACTCTCCCACAAGAGTTAATCCAGAGATCACTTTCCAGTAAACTTCCACACAACTCTCTGTCTCATAGTTGACAAATCTTATCTCATAGAACCAACCTCCAACATCATCTTTAATGCATTCCTTAAATGATTACCCCTAAACTGGTACCTCCTTTACAAATCCAGGTAAAGTGCTTATCCTTCACAATGGAACTGTGAAAGTTTCCAAGAAAGCATGACCAACTATAAATTCTTCTCCTTTCGATCTAGAATATTCATTCATTCAAACAAGTAAATAGAGAGCACCTAAGTACTAGAAATAGAGTAGTGAGCCCAACAAAATAAACTTACCACTAAAACCTTATAATCTAGTGTGTATTTGTAGGAGTGCAAAAGGGGAATAGGCAATTAAAAAAAAATTGCCAGATAGTAGTAAGAAAGAGTAAAAAAAATAGAAAATAATGAAAGAAAATGTTATTTTAGACAGTGGAAGAGAAAACTAAAATGGCCCTGAGTAAAACTAAATCAGAATTACTCTTTCAAAAAGAAGTAGAGTGGTTGAGGAAACTAATCCCACAAGGCCAACTCTGAGATTTAAATCCTGGCCCTGGGGGTTTGAGGAGCACATCAGACACATGTGCATGCATGACCAAAATCCTGCCTGGACAGAGAAATGGAGAAGAATGGCAGCATGACCACATCTCACTTCAGGGTGCTTTTGCCCTCTCTCTGTGCCTCTCCATTGCTCTCTGGCAAAAGCACACAACTGCAATTAAAAAAAAATAAAAAGGTCCCACTGCCAGCTTATAACATACTACTGAAAGATAAAAAAAAATATGAAGGCTAGCCTTTCAGCTTCCTGAGCCAGGTTCACAATAATTAAAAGAGCTGAAGGGCAGACATCAATAAGAGCTTAAGTATCAACTGATTTCAAAGTCTCCACTAAGTCAGAGCCTCATCTTAACCCATCATAACAGCACGTAGAAATGCCTGCTTCCCTTCTTCAAACTCCTCAATCCTATTGACTTTACAAGGCAATATGTGGAACAAATTAAATGTTAGAATGGCTTGGAAGACTGCATTGGAATCATACATTTAAGCATTATTCATACATTTCCATTATGTTCACAAAAAATGCAGTACACTGAAACAGAGCTCAAATGAATGCACATTATCATAAGAATTGAAATTAAAGGAGTTATATAAACAGTCTGCTTCTCAAAGTGGGTTCATGAGCCTTTCCATCAAAATAACCTGGGATGTTTTGTTTTTTTTTTTCCACTATAGTGTACGTGTGCTCACCAGACAGAGAGACATAGAGACAGAAAGTGAGAAATCACCCCCCAGGGGGGGATGGGATGGTCACGCCACAATCCCTTCTCTTCCATTCTCCTCTCGGGATCTTGGGCAGGCACGCACATGTGTCCGGTGTGAGTTCTAAGCCACCGGGTCCGGGACACGAATTATGGTCGACTACGTGGGAGTCCAGCAACATAGCCATTACGCTAACTGCTGGATTCCCCTGGGATGGTTCTAAAAAGGTAGGTTCTTGGACCCCGTTTTCATCTACAAAAATCAGAATTTCTTAACTGGGACCAAAGAAATCTTATTCATAACAAGTCACTCAATTGTTTCTCAAGGACGCTACAGTTTGAGAACCACTAGTCCAACAAGGCAACCACAATATTTAATCTGCTTGTAACCTGAACTATCTTCATTAAAGATCCACTAGTACAAAGAAATCCAAGAATTGTAAGAGAATCGGAGAACTTAAGAAAATATTGAAGTTGCTTGAATCCACTATGTGACCTTGAACAAGTTTCATAAGACTCTGTCTGAACATTATTTACAAAAAGCAAGGGCTTAGACTAAGATACTAATGTCTTTCTACACTCTAAAACTGTATTTCGTGGGTCTGGCAGGAGGTGTGGTGATTAAGGATGCTGGACTCCCACATGGCCAACCTTAGTTCAAGTCCTGGACCTGGTGGCTTGCTTTCTCACTTTCCCTCCCTCTCTCAATCCATCCCTCTCTAGTGAAGGGAGGAAGGAAAGGAAGAAGTGAGGTAAGAAATATTAAAAAAAAAAAAGTATTTCTTAATGTCAAGGTGGAAGAGAAAGGCTGTCATAAAGACAATATATTAGGACCGGCAGGTGGTGTGGTCCTTGGGGAGTTGGTTTCCCACATGGCGACCATAGTTTTGAGTCTACTCATGGTGGCTTGCTTTCTCATTTTCCCTATCTCTCTCTCTGGTCAAATTAAAAAATAATAATAATAAATAAATAATTATTTAAAAATAAGAGAGACCAGCAAATGGTGTAATGGTTATGTCACTGGACTCGCACATAGTCGACCACTGTTCAAGTCCCAGATCCGGCAACTTAAAACACACTGGACGTGTATACATGCACGCCCAAAATCCTGAGAGGAGAATGGAGGAGAAGAGATTGCAGCATGGCCATCCCTACAGGGGGATGATTTCTTGCTTTCTGTCTCTCTCTCTCCCACGAACACACATGCCCTATAGCAAGAATCTCTCAAAACATAAAAATAAAAACAAAAATATATTAGGCTGTATGGAAAAACAAAGGCTTTAAAGAAATTCCCAAAATGAATAAAGATTATGATTAGAATGAAAATATCATTTTTCTAAGAACTAGACAGCACCCTTTAAAGACTTATAAGGAAGTTAATGGCCAATCACTTCTATTAGGAAACAAACAAAGAACTCATTACTCTCAGCTTGCAAGTACGAGAAGCTTTAAAAAATAAAACAAACTAAAAAAAAAAAAAAAAAAAAGGCACCCAAAACAATTCATATACAGTATGTCTGAGGAGTTACTTCGCACATAACCTACACTCTAGAATCGACACAGCAAGCCAACTATACCCTCCCAGTTTGCTGGTATCAACCTTGAAAAGAATACGTTGAGAACCCTTATGTTCTTCAAGAAGCTGTAGTGTATATTCAGGCCCTTAGACTTTGGACCCTGTTACAGTTCTGAAAGTATTCCTAAGTTCTGACCTTACCTGCTATGTAACCTAGCCCAAACTCTGGTTCTCTGAGCCTGTGTCTTCATCACTGATGCAGGTATTAATGACTCCAGTGTTAGGAGAGCCTAATCAGATTAGGTGTAAAGCCCCTGACATGGAATTTGACACATAAAACTCAAAATTGAAACAACAAAAAAAAGGTGGCTACTAGTCTATCCAGAAATTAAATGATCCAGATGTTTGTTTTTACTTCCCCAACTGGTGAAATGGAAAACGTCTTAGCACCACCATTAACAAATACAAGAATACACAAACAACTTGGAGGAGGGGGGAACTTCCCTGCCTCGCCCCAGAAAAGGCAAGTGGGCTGGCACCGCTGGCCCTCAGTCATCTTGCCTATGACAGGTCCCAAGGAATACAAAAGTACATTTGAAGGGCATTCCTCTGCGCAAAGAGGAGCCGCAGAAGCTTCGGCCCACCGTGCCACCACCAGCAGTGGCAGAAGAACTTCCCCTGACCCCGGTCACCTGCGTTCAGGGCCCACGACTCCCCGCCGCCGCCTCCAAACTAGGGAAGCAGCTGCGGCCCGGCAGCCGGGCCTCGAGGCAGGCAAGAGCTCCGACGCAAACCTGCGCCCGCTCACTGTCCGGGCGGGCAGCACTCCCGGGCAAGCCGCCTGGAGGCCCGGCAGGGCACCCAAGAAATGTCACCGCCCGTGACCCCGAGCCTTGGGTCCCCTCACACCTCGTCCTTTCTCCTGCCGACCCTCGAGGCGAGAGCGGACTAGGCGGCAATACCTGGGCGGCGGCCTGCAGAGCCGGCCGTGGCCGGTGACTCCTAAGGGTGGCGGCGGCTAACAACCGGCTGTAGAACATGGAGGCCGCCATTTCTGAGTCCGACCCCGTCCCCTCTGCGCGTCGCGCAGGCTCAGAGGTGCGACGCGGCCCGCCGGACGCTCCGCCCCGACGGCTCCCCGCCCCCGGCCCACCCAACCGGGCGGGGCCTCGGGGGAAATCTGCGGGATTGTCCGGCCCGCTGCGCTCGGAGCGGACCTCCCGCTGGGCTACGCCGGTGAAGTGTCCTTTGCCCTTTGGATTTGAGCACCGCAGCCTCCTCTGACCTGCGGCCGGAAAGCGACCTGAACACTTCCTAGGGAACTGCAATGCAAAGACGACCAGCGCCGCCACCCGTGTGATCTGAGCTTCTCCGTGCCTCAGTTGCCTCTTCTATAAAATGGAATTCATTCAAGAAATCATTTTTTTATTTTAATTTAAAAATTATTTTTTATTTTTATATTTCCTAAATTTACATTTAATCACTGTGCATCTTTACAATGCAAAAGGATTTTTCCAGCATGGATGCAGCACACCTCAATCAAGTCAAAGATATTACCATGCACATCTTATTTTTTTTCCCTTTTTTTTTTTAGTTAATTTATTTAGTTACATTTAATCACATCTTTACAGTGGACAGCATTTCTTTTCCCAGCACAAATACTGTGCATGTCAGTCACGCCAAAGATACTACTCTGTAACTTATCAGCAAAGAGCTTCTCATTTTTTTGTCAATTAAGCATACTTTTACTTTTTTCCTTCCCCCTCTCTCCCTTCCATTCTAAACTTCTTTCCATATTTTATTGATTCACAAAATATGTTAAACTAAAAATATGGACAAAGCTAGAATCTTGTCACAAGTGTCCTGTAATTTACTTCTGAAACATTTTTTTCTGAAACCTTTTTTTTAACTAAATTTACATTCATTCCCTAAGCATTATCACAGCATACAAAATGTGATTTTATATATATATATATATATTCCTATTTCTGACACTCTGTCCTTTCCCACCCTCTTCTCACACTATCTCTGGTGTCTACAATTGTCTTCCATTACTTTCCCCCCTACATGGTATTGATCACACAATTTCTTATATAAGCTAACTACTTTCAATAGCAAGTTCACTTGGTAATTTCAAGGAAAGTAGCTTTAACTTAAATCAAGGAAATGCTAAGGAACTTTGCTTAAAACTGAAAGCCAGGAAACAGGTTAGGATTCTGTTCAAATGGTAGGTACGTGAACCTATCGACAGTTCAAGACAGGACACAAATGCTTAAAACCAGACAGCAAAACCTAAAAACAAATCAGTCTGCTTTTTAACAAACACTGCTTTGAGCATTTAGGGTATCGCTGTGAATAAGACAGCCTTTCCAATGCTTAGAAAGAAGATGGTTGGTCTGGAGTTACCAAAGCTAAGGGCACACTGAAATCATCTGGGAAGCTTTTTAGAATACCATCCGCACATTCATCTGAAAGATGGAATCAGGACATTTGTATTTCTTATAGTTCTCTGGGTATAGTAGGTAAATGTATTGAGCACTGAAAACTCTGAGATGGTGAATGCCACATCATAGAATTAACTACTGTACAAATGACAGCACCTATTCCCCTCTGGTCATCGGGGTTTAAAATAGGTAGTCTCTATTTAGGTGGACAGGATCTTAATCTAGGATATTGTGGGCATGGATGACAAGCATTAGCCAAGCTCTGGTATCCACAGAACATCACTGTGTAAAACAAAAACAAAACAGTGAACTACAACAAGCAGCTTATTACTTTAGGGAAGAGGAAAGGTCTTTCTGTGGATACCAAAATCACTGAGTTCTCTTTTTTTAAAGAATTATTTTTTGAATTTAATTCTATTTATTCATTCATTTATTTTACCTTGAGCAGAGAGAGATACAAAGAGAGAGAAGAGAGAGAAAGCAAGGTCCAGTACTCAAACTGGGGTCAGCTATGTGGGAATGGCCAGTGCGTTAACCACCAGGCCACCTGCTGGTCCCATCACTGAGTTTTCAAAATGTGGGACTTACATGGGGACTTTTTCTTTCCACTGCTCTAGTAGAGGATTGACCTCAAGGGTCCTTTCATTGCTAATAAATGCTCTATGCAGTTAGGAATAGGGAGAGAGATGCAGACACTAGTATTTTAGGTATCTCTTGCTCTATTCTCTTATTATCCATTGTAGCCAATCAGATAGATGTAGGCTAATCTGACTAAAAAGCTGAAGCAGAACCTACAAATTTGTTTCTGTTGGAAGAACACGTGACTAGGATACACTGATTGTCAACCCAACTCTCCTTTTTTAGTGAATAATAAAGACAGTGGTTGAGCCATCATGTACAAACAACCATCTGAATCCAAGATCAGGTATTTAAAGGAAAACTCAGAATAAGTCAATGTACTAAAATAAGATGTAAGGCTAAATTCCTGCTAGGAGCCTGGCTGGTTATTTTCAACTCACAGTTTTTAAGTCCTGTTTACAAGTGATCCATTAAGGACAATCTCTCTACAGCTATGTGTATTACAGTACTGCCTTAAAAACAGATGCAACAGCAGCAGCAGCAGTATAAAGAACCAGGAGCACCACCATAAAGAAAACATGCAGGTCCTTTGGGTCCTGGCCCCATTGGAAGCCTAGGCAAAGGGCAGAGGTCATTCCTCCTTAGGCAGGCCTCAATTGTTTCAGAGCTCATACCTCTGACACCTCCTTGAAAGAATCCAGTAGGGTAAAATGATGATGGGCCTCCTACCTGCTAAGCTTGTCACAGCATTAGGCAATCAGCCTTTGAAACTAAATTGTTCAGGGCCAACAGATGGCGTAGAGGTTAAGGCACTGGATTCCACATGACAGTTCAAGTCCTGGATCCAGACGCTTGAAAATCACAATGGGCAAGTATGCATGCATGTCTAAAATCCCAAGAGGAGACTGAAGGAACAGGGATTGCGGTGTAGCCATCCTCCCTGGGGGAGAGGGGGGGGTTTGTGATTTCTCACTTTCTCTTCTTTTCTCTCTCTCTAGCGAGTACATGTCTCCTATAGCAAAAATAAAATAAAATGAAATAAAATAACCCAGAAACATTGGAGGGACCAGCAGATGGCATAATGGTTACATTGCTGTTCTCTCACATGGCCAACTGCAGTTTGACTCCCAGACCTGGTGGCTTGAACAGAACAGGCGTGTGTGCATGCATGTCTAAAATCCCAAGAGGAGACTGAAGGAACAGGGATTGCGGTGTAGCCATCCTCCCTGGGGGAGAGGGGGGGGTTTGTGATTTCTCACTTTCTCTTCTTTTCTCTCTCTCTAGCGAGTACATGTCTCCTATAGCAAAAATAAAATAAAATGAAATAAAATAGCTTTACCCAGAAACTACTTAAACTATCGGGTCATCGGAAAAGTCATGATACATTTTTGCATTAGAAAAATATGCCAGTATTTTTTCACAGTACTTTTTTCATAGTAAAAACCTTTGCAATCCTTACCTATAGGGGTCTTAGAAACTAGTAATGGGCAGTACAAAATAATATATCAATTCTAAAGTATAGGTTATGTTCTGAAGTAACTCTTCAGACATACCATATATAAGTTGATTTAGGCTTTAAAAAAATGCTACTCATACTTTAAGACTGAAGGTAATGAGTTATTTTAAGTTTGTTTCCTAATAGGAGAAGTGATTATTTTGGGCCATCAACTTCCTTTTTATTAGCCTTAAAGAGTGCTGTTTAGCTTTTAGAAAAAGAGAATTTGGAGAAACACTCAGAAGAAATTTTAAATCTGAGGTATGTCCTGCCGAGTTCAGGGACTGAGGTGACCGAAGCTCTGCTCTAAACCCCATCTCTCAGACCCCAGAAAGTCTCAGAGAGGTAGGGCAACCACTGTCCTTTCTCTGTCTCTGTCTCTTTTTCTCAATATTTAATTTTTTTCTTTTTTTAATTTGTAAAATTTTTCACATTGATTTTTTTTTTCTTTTTGGGTTGTTTTTGTCTAGTTCCCTGCCCCCCTCCCTTTTTTCCCTCCTTTTCCTTTTTTTTAACCTTACTTCTCACTCTACTGTTCAGCCTCCACACACTGAATGTCTAGACAGGCCTAGGTACACAGTAGCCAAGTATCTGAATACTTATAGCTATGGTCACAGAAATTCTCAGTCCTTGCTGGAGAAGAGAGACTACAGAGTGAGCAGCAGGGTGAAAGATGGAGCAGCAGAGATAGCTCAGCTCCTCTCCTCCCTCGCACTTCTGAACTCTCTGTTGAAACCCCATAGCTTAGCCCAGATGCACCTATTCCCTAGAAACTGTGAGGCTTTTGCAATATCCAGTTCCAGAGTGAAAAGTGCAGATTGTTTGCTTGGTTAGCATCAGGGAAATGGAACTGCAGAGAGATTGTGGATCACCTCCTCCTGCACACCTCTGAATGCTCAGAATTAACTCCAAGAAAATAGGAAGAAATGTATAGTCTATCAGATGACAAGAAACCAATGCAGAGGCACAAGAAATATGAAAAACCAAGAAAATATCTCTCCCCCAAGGGAAAAGAACAGCCCTTCATCATCCATAAACAGTACAATGGAACTTATGGAAATGTCCAATAAAGAATTCAGAATGTTCATAGTGATAAACCTAAATGAGATGCAAGAGATGAGAGACAACAAACTCCAGAAGGTGCAAGAGAAAAGAGACGAGTTCCAGGAGGTGAGGAAGTTCTTCCACGATCTGAAAGAAGGAATACACACCATAAAAAAGAATCAAATGGAACTCTTAGAGATGAAGGCTGTAATACAGAAAATCAAAACCTCTCTCAAAAGTATTAAAAGCAGACTAGACCATGCAGAAGATGGAATCTCAGATGTTGAATACAAAACCTATGACCTAGGGAAAAAATCACCAAAAATACTAAGAAAATAACAACCAAAAAAATGAAAATGATATACAAGAAATACCAGATACCATTAGGTATCCAAACATCCAGATAATTAGTATCCCAGAAGGTAAGGAAAATGATAAGGACATTGATCATCTATTTCATGAAATCTTGGAAGAAAACTTTCCAAACCTA